TCACGGTCAACAGAGTCAAATGCTGCCTTCGGGTCAGAAAATATGGCAAGTGTAGACCGCCGGTAGGTATGCTTTTGTTCCAGAAACTGTCAGAGGGTGAAAATATGATCTATGCACCCACGACTAGGTCTGAAACCTGCCTGGAATTTGCTGTTCTGGAACTACAGTTAGGCGTCGGATAACTATGGACACTAGGATCTTGGATACAAATTAATTCCCGCATGGTTGTCACAAGACTCCTTCCCATTCTCGTAGACTGGCATGATCAGAGAAGTACACCAGTCCGACGGCACTTCCTCTGATTCCCATACACTACCTAGTACCTCCATCCCTGAAAACTTCAGGTGGCAAACTGTCAGGTCAAGCTACTTAGCGATTCGGCCTTCTCAACTTCAAGGAGATTTGAAGGACCAACATCTACGTCGTATTCAGGTTCAGCCTGGATATTGGTCAAGTGAAGCATTGCTGAGGGCTAGTTGAACTGTGGTTCTGTGGTTTTGCCTAATGTTCTAGCTGCTTGTCCTGTGGGCTTATTAGCGTCCCATCCTTTTCGGTGATGGTTTCTTGCCGGTATCCTCATGGGCCTAAATTGTTGCGGAGTGGTGCCCAACTCTGATGCCTTCTCAATCTCTCGCTCTCGCTACCCGACCGATAGCTGCTACCTTGACGTGGTGGTCGGGTTTGTATAACACAATGACCCAAGGAGCTACACTGACTGGAACGCTTGTTCCCTCAAGGGCCTACCATGCCAGAAAGGTCTGTTGGATAGCGTTAGACGAAAAGCAGTCACAGTTGTAGTGGAAATTACTACACTATGATGGGGGCCTGAGGGGAAAATCGTACTGTTGCTAGCTAGATGGGGTGTGAAAGTAGTAAAGTGTTTCCCGTGGATGATGTTCTCTTTTCAACAGAAGGGGGATTAGAGAGGGTCGGTCCCAAAATAACACACTCTACCATACCCCACGGTCTTCGGATGCCAGAGGAATGGGATTTTGTCTACCTGGCGTTAAAACAATCATATCTCAAAGCAACATACCACGAAAGGCTGTGACAGACCTCAAACAGATGTTCCATGGACTTTGCAGTCAGAAGAATCGTTCTCTCTTTCACCACCTTGGGAAGAAATAGCCTTCCACGGTGTGGGAAGCCGGAAAGCGTCAGCCGTCCGCACACTTCCAGTGATACACAAGAACCATTCCCACAGACATAAAAAAAATCCTGTTTTTCTTGAAGACTCGGACAACTACTGATTAAAGATCATCCTTGATTTCCACACTCCAGATAATAACACTTCATTTAGCCTAGTCACTAGTCACTATTGTTCTTAAATACCTCTGCTGCTGAAAGGTCAGGGACTGTAGTTCTTCTGTATTTTAAGTTAATTACAACCTCGACTTCCTTGAAAGTTAGACACTAAGTGCGAATATCTTATTCAAGCTGTGACTGGCCAATGAGTAGTTAGTGAGTAGCTGAAGTCAAAAAAATTACTGGAACACAGGCACACTTTTCGAAGCTCGATAGCTATGTTTCTCGACCTGAAGGCGGCACTCGACACGATGCTAAATATTTAGATAGAGCATATGTTGAAGAGTTTGTAAACTCTACTATCGGTCTCAGAGGGACATCAGGTTTATGAATTTTCGGTAATCCATAGAAGCATGATGAAGTGCATGATTTTGGATAAAGAGAAAACCATAATGAGTCTCCGATGAAAGGTTTCAGTTCCTTTAAAAGTTGACCTGTTTCTGCTGTCATCTTGTTTTTTGTTGTTTCGCACTTTTTTGATTCAATTTCTTTATAGGGACGATCGTAAGGCCTATGAGCATCTTTCAATCGGTCCCTGTAAAGATATTGAATCAAAAAGGTGCGAAACAACAAAAAACAAGATGACAGCAGAAACAGGTCAACTTTTAAAGGAACTGAAACCTTTCATCGGAGACTCATTATGGTTTTCTCTTTATCCAAAATCATGCACTTCATCATGCTTCTATGGATTACCGAAAATTCATAAACCTGATGTCCCTCTGAGACCGATAGTAGAGTTTACAAACTCTCCAACATATGCTCTAAATATTTAGCATCGTTATTAAAGCCTCTCCAACGCTCTATTATCAGCTCAATAAAAGACTCATGAATTCAGTTCAAGAATATCGGAATTATCTATTGCAGAGAATGAAACGATGGTAAGTTATGATGTTTTTTCACTGTATACTAGTATTCCCATTGAAAAATGTTTAGACTTCATAAATGAATTACTAGAATATGATCACACGTTGGCAGATAGATCTCCGTTGAACCCCAGCCTCATCATGAAAGCACTCAACTTTTGTTTAAAGTCGACACTCTTCACATCTAGAGGAAAACTATACAAGCAAACTAATGGAGTAGCTATGGGTTCCCCGGTGCCCCCTATCGTTGCAAACCTTTTCATGTCCCACATTGAATAAACCATCCTTTCGAACACCATCAAACCACGTGTTTGGCTCAGATACGTAGATGATACTTTCTTGATTTTAAAAAGATCTGGCCTCAGAACCTTATCGAAGTTAATCAACACTTATTCTCCACATATCAAGTTCACATGTGAACATGAAAATGCAATCAGGGAACTACCATTTCTAGGCTGTTTAGTTAAAGGGAATGAAAATGGAAGTCTAAGTTTATCGATTTGTCGTAAACCAACACATTCAAATCGATATCTTGGTTTTAACTCAGCACATCCACTCAGTGCTAAACTTTCACTTGCTCGGAACTTATTCAGGAGAGCCACAAAGCTCATCACGAATGAAGATGACAGGCGAACGGAAGAAAGTAATATATCAGATATATTATATTCCAATAACTAGCCGAGAAACGTCGTTCAGAAGATCCGAAAACATGAACAGTGGGACCCGAGAGAAAATTCAAATAATGATTCTTGGATTGGCACAATAGTTTTACCTTTCCGCTAAGGTGCAACCGAAGAGTTACAAAGAATCTTAAGAAAGCACTGAATCAGGACCTTTTACAAGACAACCAACACTGAGAAATGCTCTAGTCCTCCACACAAAATTGTGTCTACAAATTAGGCTGTGTCGACTGTGATGCTTAGTATGTTAGAGAATCATCCCGTGAGATCCTCATTAGGGCTAAAGAACATGCAAGCTACACAAAACGACCGCCAAATAATCCCGTAGAACTAGAGAACCTACACATCAAGTCGGCGATCGCTGTTCACGCTGTATATCAGTCACAAAATCAATATTGAAAATATTAAAATTATTCAAAAAGGTTTTTCAAACTACAAAGAAAGAAGAATAGCAGAGGCATTCCACATCACGTTGAATCCTAATGCACGCAAGAGAAAGGAAGGCCTAACTATCCAACCAACCTGGACAGTATTTCCAAAAACAAAAACAAATCACACACAATGATCTGGTCAAAAGCACATACATACAAACAAACCGAATTTTCGTCATCCATAGTATTTATTTATTATTTTTTCACACCCAGTCACATATACACATATTCATATCACCTTGAACTCCAAACTAATTAACTCATAAACAAAAGCAAATTGTAAACGCGTCCTGACCAGCATAACGATGACATTCACGTTCATATGTTCATCATGTATAGACAATGCGATCTGATTCGTCACCTTTTACTATTTAAACTATTGGACAACTTGTACAGGTTTTATTCTCTGAAGAAGCGATTTTCACGAAGTCGCGAAACGTCAGAAATTTATTTTTCTACTTCATTGGGATTTTTACAAAATATGTTTCATTTATAATCGAATTACCCAATGCTCAACTTATTCAACTCTATCAGATCAAATATTGATCCTGAAGTTTATATATATATATATATATATATATATATATATATATATATATAATCAGATGTCAATAGTTAACTATCGTACTGCGAACTTAACTATCATACCATTTTGTGAAAATGTTTAGCTGTATTGAATAAAATAACCTTCCGTATTCCTTACTAGTTGTAACAAGCTGGGGACCATTTGGTTTTACGTGGCGACCACACCATGTCACACGTAAATTTCCAGTTCACATCTCATTGTGAGTAATAATTAGCTCATCTCTCCCTCTAAAACGTCTCCGATGATACTGCATGATCACCACTATCGAATCAGCAGTGTGAAACTGCGTTTTCACCAGTGGTCGACGACTTGAACTTCTCGCCAGATCAAGTTGTTCCATTTTCCTTCGAGAACACATCCAAAACAGAACTCGTTCTCTTAAATACACTGATCACAGGGAGTAACGGAGGTCAATTGGCCAGCTATCTTCACTGCTGAACACCGGTAATCAGCTGTAAAGTTATTGCCTAGACACTTTCTCGAGCCAAGAGAAAGACGTCCAAGTCACCAATAGTGTATTCTATTCCTAAAATGTAGTTTTTGTTTTAAATCTAAAACAATTCCAGACTAGCGACCTCACTGATATCCTGGTTAACTGGTCAGAAGGTTGGATTAATAAAGACGAAGTCAGGAGAGAAAAGTGGTAAACATGAGGCCACAGGCAGGATAAAATTAACACTGAAGAGCTAAATGGTGTTTGTCAACGTATGACCTCAAATTTCCTGATGAGGTTAACCTCAGTGTCGGTAGTGCGCCTGAAGATTTTGAATAACCCATATCCCAAGTTATGAGAAGGCATATTTCTTAGTAGTGTTACATGAATGTTTGACGTTTATGTGCCACATGGGTTTGTGTTATAGGAATCAAATAAATGTTAACGGCCAACTGAAATATTTGTGAAATTTAGGGGAAATGCCGGAAAGTTCCAGAGTGCGCCCAAAGTAAATGCTGACTGGGTTGCGAACAAGTATAAAGATGTTCACTCAAATAATACCCAGAGAATGTCATCATTTAAAAATTAGTTGGGATAGACAGGACCAGCAACTAATAAGATACTGGACATTAGAACTTCACACAACGGCAAATTACTTGAATAACATATATGTTTAGGACTGAAATTTCACTAATACATTACCTGTACCAAGTTTTGTAGCTCCAAAAGCATGATTTTTGGTGAAAGAACAACATGCTGGCTGCAAACAACCAGCAAAAAGGCGCGAAGATAATATTCTGCAAGAGTTTGAAGCCGACATCCCGCCTGAACAGAACATTTTCGATTAGCGCACGTTTGCGAAACAAACTTCAATAGTCCTAATCTCAGCAGAGGTTCATATTACCTAGACCCGTGTGCTTTTACTCCTGGAAACGTCATAAAAATGCAGTTCCAAGAGATGGAAGTTACATGCAGAGTGCCTATGATTAACTTTAAAGGCCACGCTGACAATCATTGAGATGACAAATCAGGATAATCCGTTTAATAAAAAAAAATTGTGTTTCTCTAGTTAAAACTGATTAGGACGACTGGCTATTTCAATGTATTATGGGGTGACCTTTGAAGTTGTTGGTGAGTGTCACCAGACACAGTTGTCATGACACACAACGGAGATGATGTATTTCTATCTGTTGCTTTGGCAGGTAGGTTTGATATAAACTTTGAAAGTCAAAAGGTGCTACCTTTTAATCTTGTTATGCACTCGCTTTTGTTCTTGCGTTGCGTAGGCGTATTAATAGGACGCTCAGCATCTGGAAAGTAAGGTCAAAATGTCCTATTTGTTGATTGCTATATCGGTAAAAGTGCTAACATAATTCAATCAACTCGTATGTTTCATGCAGCATGAAATTATAAAATGCGATCCCTACACCAAAAAACTGCGGCAGGTTCTGGGACCTCCTGTATGATCAATGTCTTAGCAAATTAGTAGCTAGCGCAAGATTCTTGGATAAATACGGAAGAAAACAATAACGTAGATCCTATATAAAACTATCAGCATGCTGTTTTTTGTCATAATGTCAGTCACAGCGTAGGTCACAGTAAGTACTGTTATAGCTAGCCTTTCATTTCCGTAGGATATCTTATTTCGCTAGGTACTCCTCCTCCCTCGGGGTCAAACAGATTTTCTGCAGTATGGCACTAGTCTGTCAACACCATACACATACTCGAGACGTCTGGGGAGCCGCTGATGTCTTTGCAAACATCGGTTCCAAGACTGCGAAGTGGGTAACTAAAGAGAACATCATCGGAAGTAGAAAGGAAAGCTCCCGAAAATCAAACTTCAACCATGGTTGATGTTTGATTCGGGGAATTTATGATGTACGATGACTATCGTAACCTCCGCATCGAATGAATCCTAGTGCACTCATCCGTTTCCTGAATAACCGTAATGTATATACTCATATTTTGTTATTACAATATATATTACGCTGAGAATTCCAAATTTTACCACAAATCGTTTGGAATAAAGTGAATTATTATTAATAATTATCCGTGGTGTGGACGCACTTGTCACAGAAACCCGAGAAAGTGTCCTTGTGGTATGGAATGGCATTAAGATAGTGCCTATTAGTCGCTGATAGATGAAATCACTGCCCATCTGCGCTCTCTACCCACTTACATGGCATACTTTGCAAAAGAGCATAGTGGGGCACGAGGACATGTAGATGTTTGACTGTACATGGGTTTACTCACCCCTTCAAGAGGTCCACAACACTGCGTCATCGACAAGCCTTACTGTCGACGCTCGTGCTGAACAAGCACGGCCACGCACGGGTCTTACCACCATCTGATCCGGGTTCGAATTTACATCTCATATTCTTTATAAGGCTTTTAGATGTCGAGTTATTCTTCTTCGTGTGCGCTCGGGCACCTCACAAGATGGTCAAGAGACTACTACCATGTTTCTTTTGAACGAATTCAGAGAGTTATAGAGATCAAAGAACAGCTGGAATAGTGAACGAAATGCAGCCAACTGCCCATCGGAAGGCAGAAGGGGCATGTCGTCCGTATTTGAAAATCCACGCCAGGGGTTATGACACCTGCCATGACCACAATAAACTTCATTAGCCTCATGCGTTCTTTACTTGTCAACCCTTATGTATATGAAACTTGGTGGCTCAAAGAGGTTTGACATACTTATTTTTCCAAGTATCTTTCTTTGGTTGTTTAGTGAAGTGGAAAATAGGCAGGCTTTGGCTAACATGAAGAGCAGGCAGATCTATAAGTTCCCTCCCTATGACTCTCGTGTCTAGGTATTTGGCTATCAGTCACTATGCTATGGGTCCAATGCATCCCTATCGGAAGAGACCTCAGCAGCCAGTTAGCACCATCGGCGGTCACACAAGAGGTGCGGGTACCGAACCTGCTAATTGGCACGTTTTTCATCTGCGGGCAGTTTATCCGTTGTTCTATGATGGGTGGGACAGTTTGCGAGGTCGAAAACCGGAGTGGATCAAATTATCGGCGAGTGCTATGTACCTTCAGGGTCGCCTGTTAGTCTTCTGAAGTGTAGGGCATACAATTTGATGAATACGAAGGATACGCAAAGAATTTTTTGCGGATATTCTCTGAATAGTCGTTACTCGGGGCCTGGCATCCTGTAAGGTCGGCGACTGCTGTTCATTAGATCTGATACTGGAGGCATATTATATCCGCTCCTACCTGATGGGCAGCAGAATGATGGTTGAGGCTCCAGTTCACAAGTAAAACAACAAAATTTTGACAGACAATACAAAGAGAAAGCAAACACAAGACACAAAAAAGGTTCAAAAAGATGAAGGGTGAAGGAGCTACAAGACAATCGGTGATATAAAGAGACATAGACTTTCTTCCGGCGCAGATACGCAGTGTAGGGTCTCAACCTTCGTCAGACGCCTAGCAGCATAGGTCAGTACAGAGTGATCGTTCATTTTGAATTCTTATCAGACGACATACCAACTTACCGTTTCATTCTTCCTCTTATGAGCCACCGGCATGGTTTCTGTCCCTAAATGCCAGTAATTACCTCCAAATCTCCGTCTTGCAGTAGACTTCGTTCCGTGATTTTTTTCAAATATATCAGCCCCCAAACCACCACAAAACCCGCTGCTGATTCATCCCATCTTTCTTGTTAACACCCGATTGGGACGCAGCTTAAGACTAATTCAATGAAAGCCACAATTTTAAAATGTCCGAGAACGGCCGTTTCAATATATTGTCTGAACATTCCATGTTGACACATCCATAGCGAATATGAATGAGACCGAGCGTTAATGTACGAAAGCGTTAAATAAGGTCATCATTGCTTTTTGAGAAAATGATAATAATGACAATAATTGTTCATTCCTGAAGTTACGGGCGCATACCATTTCCACAGGTACATTTAGTGGTAAAAACCTTTGGTAATGTTTTTTACCACCTCTTTTACATCCCAGATAGTAGAAATCCCAAGTCTGAAAAAAAAGGATTTCACGTCACGCACAACTAGTGTGCTTTAAGTTAAACGTTGAATTTTTGTTATGTTTTAGGACGTCTGACAGAAATGAAAGTCATGTTTAATGAATTTGTAAAAGCAGCATTCAAGAAAAGAAGGAAAACAATTGGCCAAGTTCATTCTCAAGAAAAGATGACGCTGGCCAAACTACTCAAGTGTTTTCCTTAGAAATATCTTGTACATAGAAGCAGGTGCCACAGCATATTCGATGTATTATTGAAAAGAATCGCATCTCTAGGCCTATGGGAACGTCAAGGCATAGAGTGCATACAACAATGAATAGTAGCGACAACACAATAACATCCCGATGATGAAAAGTTCTGTTTATGTTTGTTCATGCTAAACTGAACATTTATCCACTGCCACAACGCTCTGCATCGCTCATGGTGGCCCGATGAAGAATGACGAAATTCCAACGCAGATAAAGTTGTGGGTATTTCTCTGCATTTTGTGCGCTGATTATAGCTACAGTGGACGAAATGTGGCCAGCCAACCATCCTTAAGTGGAACATTGCTGCAAATGTGTGATTCCTTGAAAAACTGGATGAATAGGTGTCGAGAGGCTTCTTGGGATAAATAAATAAATGTTTCATTCTCGTGTTAAAAAAAAGGATTTTAACATGAGAGAAGCCAGTTTACAGGCTTCATCACGTTGATACATGTCAAAATGTCTACAAGATTTGAGCCCTGAGTGGTACTGATGGAATGTCATTAAACTCAGTTAAGAAAAAATTTTAAAAAAACAGCCGAAGGTCCTGCTAGTTATGAAATGAACGAGGAAATATCACTTTACAGCGTACATAGGGTATTAAAGTTTAGATAATAGTAAATGTCGCCTTCATTTAACAGGCTTAACATGAGGGATACCAGTTTACAAGCACCGTCAAATTCATAACCTTTGAAGGTATCCAGTATTAAATAATTTACATATCAAGTCATTAGTGTGCATAATCTTATTGAAAGCTGCTGAAATTCATGAGACGGATATGGATTGCCATCTCCCATCACATAGATAGGTTCCGTTATCAATATCAAAAGCGCGCATTGTTCAAATTTTGCGTTATAACCAACCGACGTTGTTAGCCCATTCGCATGGTTTGTTGATTAGTAAGATAATAGTTTATTACTTAGAATGATCTTCAGTTTTTAGTTTGCTAACCACAAAGGACCCATTTATACAATCTGGAGTAACAATAAAGTATCCACAGTTATATAACCAACGTGTATGGCTATATCAATGCATATCCAGGTCATCATGTTACCTTTAAAGGTGATATAGATTAATTCTACTGGGAATAATCGTTGTATTGGATGAAAAAAGGTGTTGAAACAGTCAATAGTCCATAGATTTTGGGCATCTTTTGTATTAGCATAGGCCGCACCATTCGAAAAGTGCATTTGATGCGTAGTAAGTTCCATATGAAAAGGTCTCTTGGTACAGAGTACTAGAAAATGTCTGGTGTGAGGCCATTGCATTCCTTATCTTTTTTAATATATATTATTCTTCTTCCTTTTTTCCTTTTTTGTTTCTATTTTGTCTCTCTCTGCACTCTCTCTCCCTCGATTTCCGTGCACATATTTTTCATCTCCCTTTTACAACCAGTCCAACCAATTGTCTACTGGCACTACATTTGAGGAGCCCATCTGCACCACGGTCCTGGGAAGTGGAAGCAAACAAACAAACAACACTCCTCAAAAATTTAATCAACAGCCTGTCGGGCTTACCAGAGCTACAGCAGTCGAGTGAGTAGGCCTACTGCATTGGAATCCACCAAAGACCTGGAACGGTTCCGCAGGACCTAGAA